CTGAAAAGCCCAGCCGAAATTCTCGTGATAAAAGAGCTGCTGTGCAAGCAAAACGTCGGTGGCATACAAAGATCCACCACCATAGGCAGCCTAAATCATCAGCAATCAGTAAAGTGTCCGAAGGTAAGGGAACAAACAAACTCCCGAGTGAGAAAGAAACCAGATAGCTTACATTAGACATGGCAACAATAATAACATGCTCCTTGAAGTTGAACTTTCCCGGCCGAAGATTGAACTTTAGTCCAAAAAGGTTCCACTCCCTGTCAGGCATGATCAAATCCCAGCCTCTACCGATGGGATAAGCAATGAGTTGAATCACGTAGGTAGTAATAGCAACACTCGGATTTCGAAGCGAGAAGAGCATGTTAACTCCTGATCCAATGGCGCAGAGGATCATACCAATAACCCAAGCGCGAACGGTGTTGGCAGGAAGATCAACGTCGTAATTTCGAACAACAGCACGAACCTATCGCACATCATGTTAGCCGCTTTCATCTGTCTCACTCCGTTGCAAAAGCTTCAACTCTTCAGATTGCCAAGGTTCGCCATTGGCACCCGGCAGCAGCAGGATTGTCATATACCTCAGGGTATGGGCTGTTGTCCTCCATGAGCGCGTGCTCAATATCGAAACCCTTCTCATCATTCCCTGTTGCGATGGCGGCTTCAATTTCATTGAGGTCATCGATAGGCATATTCGGGTCGAGTTTGTGGATTTTGTCAAAATCGTTGAGGCCCTTTAGTTTTTCGATCGAGGAAGACTCTCCATCAGGCGGACCAGGAATAGGCGTTATTTCCTCTGCCTCGCGGCGCTTGCGAAATAAAGACACCATCGTGGGCATTCTTGGTGACCCGGTGTCCGGGTCGGCTGATATGGCACTGTATGGCCTCGCTCTCGTGTGGCAGGTCGTCGCGAGGTCGTCGCAGTCGTCTTTCAGATCAACCTAGTGGGAGTTGACACCCACGAGAATCAGAGGCGGCCCTCTTCAGGCCTGGTTGTCGGCGGCGGGGGTCTTGAAGAACCAGTATCGCTTCCAGCAAAGGTGTGTTGAATGAGTAGACGTCTACATGAACGAGACTGGGGGATTGAGAGAGGACTGGTTGGCCTTCCGTCCCCGCAGACCTACCACAGACTGCGGCTGGGCGAAGCTGAACACAGTCGAATGCCGAAAGTACCGTTACCAATCACACCACAGAGTGAAATGGAAGGTACTTGCTTGGGGGGGACCGCACAACTGGGTGGGTGTGGTGGGAACCACCTTCCGATCTTAGCAGGTGTCGACCAAGACACCAGATAGGTTAGACCAGTTACGCCTCGTTTGAAGTGTCGAGGCACTTTTGAAGCACGCTGACCCCGTCCGTCTGCTTTAAACCCAATTTTTCACCGGCAGCGAAAATCATTCGCCTCTCCACTCTCTCAAAGAATTCTGTGATCTTGCTGGAATCTCTGTTCTTCTCTTGTTCTCTAGCCTGAATTTGGCTGCGGGCGCCCCCTGGTCGACCTGGGGTCCTAAGCACCCCCTGGATTAAGGATAGCAGACATCACAGCCAATAAGCACGCTATCAAGCCTTTATCTATCATGCGCCCCAGTTGCCCGACTCGTGATGGCGTGCTAAACAACCCAGAAAACGGCATGTACCTGTACCTCTATTCTCTTGGGTATACATGCAGCGCACAACAGGCGCAAGACGCCACAAGCCAAGCATCTAACCTATTGCTGCTAGGCCAGTGACAGTATCAACATTTCCATCCTTATCAACCATTACTGGCACAAATACACAGAGCAATAAATCACTCTTTCAAGGCGCCCGATTAGATATCCAATTCGAAGGTTGTAACCATTCTTTCGCTCCAATTAGGGTATCTCAGTACATTTGGGGGTGTTGTAAGTCGTCCTCTTTCTGGACGTTTTATCCGCACAGACAACATTTACACCCTCCAAGGCTTCCAAGTCCCAACCAAAGCCAAGGAAACTTTCGGCTATTTCTGATAGCCAATTCATTTGGTCCCGGCCTCGAGTTGAGTAGAGCGATCTTCGGAAGGCGAAAGAGCTCATGCCCAGCTCTGTGCCACGTGCACTCCAGCTCAATTACGTTCTTAAATCAGGTTCAGCCCTTCAACACTTTCGACCGATCCATCCCAAACCGTTCGCAACCCCTGGGTTATATGCTGCCATTCATTGGTACTAGTGATCCCGAGGGCATAGTCTCTAACGATTGGGTTGGACAGAAGATCGAGTCTCTGAAGGTCGATAAGGCGGGCTAAGAACGCCGCCGCATGAGCATCCAGCAGTGTTGGTTTGTCGCCAAAAAGATATAATGTTGCTGGAGGTCTGTTCTTTATTATATCCCCGATGTTGTCCACAAATCGGAGCACCTTCTCTTCTATCAATGTGATGTTGTCTGGATCCAACAAATTACTATACAAATTATCGTGCCTAAGATTTGTTACAGTTAGTCGCTGTCGTGCCTTTTTTGGCTCTTTTTTTTTCATTTCCCAGGGTCTCTTTAGACTCACAAGATACTCTTTATTTCCAGGCGACGTCGATGTGAAGCAGTTAATTGGTTCCTCTCCAGCATCGCAGCAGCTTGGTTAGGGATACCATCCTTGCAAATATCCGGCGATAGCGCCAGCGCTTGGGCATGGATCCCGTGCAGGTCGTTCATGATCTTTGTGATGATGACATTGTGCTCCTCGGGGATCAAGTCTGTTTGTTGTAGGGACAGCCACTTGGCTATCTCATAACTATCCGTTAGAGGTTCGGATAATGCTGGTGAAGCCAGGACGGGAACCTAAACCAACAATGAGCGTGCTGAGCCATGAGATAGCGGGTAAAAGAGAACAGACCTGTCCTTTGGGATTGAGCGTTAGGAAATCTTCTGAAAGATTCTCCTGCTGGTGCAAGTTGACCAGCTCCAGCTTAATTCGGGGAGCATTTTCCGGGTTGAGCTTCTCTCCGAAAGCGAAAGCCAAACGGACCATGAGTGAGTAGAGAGAGAAGGGGAAATGATATAGCGTGTATACCGGGCTGTCAGCCATTATTATTAAAAATTACGGCCGTATTTGGCCATGGGATATAACAACCCGTCCTAGATATCGCAAAGGCATCCGACACGGGCATGAGAAAATGCACCAGCGAACCTCTCCCTTTTAAACAAAAGGCAGATGAGCCGTGCTGATGATGTCGTTGCAGGCCTGGAGCCTCAAGGCACGCGGGAAGGCCCTGAGTGGATCTGGTCTACATGACGATGAACTATCCCCAGTCCCAGGAATGCGGAAAACGATCCTCAGGGCTGCCTCTACTTCCTCTTGCAACTACATCACCAGTAGTCCAGACCACTGACGGCAGAAAGAAGATCGCGGCTGCGCCTCACTGTACCTGATGATCCAAGCCTCATTATCCTGGTAATTGAGGCAAGTGCTTGGGGTCGTGGCGCGTGCAAGCCAGTTCGCCGGGCCTAAGAACCAGCTGTGGCTCGACTAAGTCCCATCTTTCGGTGTCGCCGATCTCCGCGTGAGATCTCAAAAGCGACCCTACTCACTACATTTCCCTGTTCTCCCCCGGACCCAAGACACTTGAACCCCAATTGTTGCCTGGGTCTTCAAAGGATCCCAAATTCGGCAACCAGTCAATTAGCCACAGGCCCACTCGGGAAGGCAGGAATATGCACCACTCTTTGAGAACGATGAGAGAGAATGCATCTTCTCTGCGACCCAATTGTAGCCAAAGTGTGGCTAGTGTTGCTCAGGCATGCGCCTTTCCAGGAACCTGTGCCTCCGAATGTCCAAAAATCGTAACGGTCCTTCGGGAGTATCCTCAAAGCACAATATGTTTGTGCGTCTTCTTTCGCCACCAAGTAAGCAGGATACGCCGAGCATATGCGTGCAATTTTAATAAGTCCCCGAATTCCGCATTTCCACATTTCCCATCCATCTTCCCTCGATTATTTGCCACACCTCGGCCAGGAGGCAACTCTCTCTTCTCCCTCATTACCCTAGAGCTTGTTCCAGCGAGCTGCCAATTGAATGTTTTGACCGGCTGTCGAACGACATTTCTCTTCCCTCAACTCTTTGTGTGCTGGTTGGCCTCTTTGCCTTGCGTCCTCGGGCGCGGTATCATAATATGACCATAGTCTCTCCCCTTGCCTCTCGATAACTTCGTACATCTTCTTCTTTCCCACCATAGCAGCCCAATCCTTACAAACATTGAACAGGAATGGAAACTCTACACGTGGTTGCTAGTGAATTGCCGGATTTATGTGGCCTAGCCCGCAACCACCAATCAACCCCCATCAACCGTCACCAAATAACAGAAGATCACACAATGTCTCACAACGGTTGGGGGGATTGCCGTGCCATCAGTGGATGATGCCGAACCCCTACAGCCGGATGAATGGTCTACCATTATCCATTGCTACTACAACAAAGCAATACTTCCTAGGCTACAGCAAGCCTTGGACCAAGTACAACGACACTGCCATCGCAACTATAAAACCAAGAACTATCCCTCCCACTGCATGTGACAGTAGTGCATACTCATTCGAAGAGGCATTTGCTTGTCCGTTCTTATTTACGTCTCACAATTTGCGATCATAGGAGCATGGGAATTTGCCGACTATTCAGGCACCACAAGGCCCTAAGCCCTCCTAGACTTAGGGCCGGAACGGTGGGTGGGTGAGGTCGGGTAGTATGGACAAGCTTCGTACACATCTGAGGCGTCCCTCATGAGATAGCCGCAAGGCCAGTTTTTTCAATACCAACGCGGTCCATTTCCTCCGCTGGTTGGCCGTTATCCATCTCATCTCCATAGGTTAGGTATCGAGTGTGGGACCATTGCGCAGCTGCTGGCGTATCCCCCACGCCCATTGGCGGCCTACGCTAAGTCTTGGCAGGGGAATGCCGATTCTTAATTACAGGGGTCATCGTGATCGATTAGTGCCTGGATCGGAGCATCGAGGCACAAACAGTTGGCTGTTCTAGTGGTGGATCAGCAGCCACCGCGTCAACGTCCGTCCTTGGTGACGCCAAGGTCTAGGAACAGCCCTGTCCTGATCTCCTCCCAGATGATTTGATGGTGGTGAATATCGTAAGAGAACGTGGACAGGGAGAGGATAGATGGACCAGCCCGCAGCTTCACAGGGTATCGAAAACTTACCAAGGACCCCTTTTTCTGTGTGTCTTTGAATAATTGAAACAAATCTCCCACTTCCGCCTGTTCCGAAAAGTTGGGAATGGCACCCATGTAGCCAACAATCGAGACCATTTTCGAGGAATGCATTAGTGTTACCAACCAAAGAACCTTAAAATAAACCAAATACAAAAAGCTGTCCAACCGCGGGTTCCGAAGCACCATAGACTCCGTCTGACAACAGGAGCAAATTTCCGGTGGTGTTGCTGCAGAGAGCTAGGCTCGGTCGGGCAACACTGGCGGCCGAGCGCGCGCTGTGCCAGTAGCGCTTGTCATTGCTCCCGGCTCCCGAAGAATTTATCGATAGTTTGCCGTGGTCGAGAGCCCAATGATCTGGTTTAGAAATAACAATGAGGAAAAAGGATGCCATTCTCTACGTCTGCCAAGGGAACTAATCCAATCCGCCTTTTACAGCCCTGTATGCCCGCCCGCCGTTTTCCTGCCATATTCTGTGGATACGAGCATAGCGTATCCTCTACCTGTCGCCAAGGTATACAATGCTGGCCTGGCCGATGTGATCGACAGCGATACCACGGGGCTCCATGTGCATAAGGTTCTTGAACGAGATGGCAATGTAGCATTCTAGGCACGGATGTACACAAAGCAGGGCTCCTGGGCCGGCGATGATGAGCAGAATTCATCAAAAAGCCGAAAACCTAGAGCTGGCATCCCGCATCTCGGCAGGTGTGGCGTAGGCATTTTGACTTCGAGGATTTCAAGGGAGACGTCTTTCCCATCGCTCCAAAGCACCCCTTTTCCCGTGGATATTTATATGGATCCCACAATAACCCACATCCCACCCCTTTTCTTGGGGATTGGGTTGTGGGCTCGGGTGCGCATTGCTCGAAGGACGGGCAGAAATATCAACAAGGAACCCGCACTAGAGAAGCACACATGCAGTGCTCTGCAAAGTGGTGCAAGCTATGGAGAACTCGGGAAAGCGGATCAACGCCCATGCCACGCAATGGTACAGGGGAGAATGGGCTCACACGAATGCCAGCAAGCAGCACCTCATGCAAGGCGGTCTATGAGAATCGGTGACCAGCAACATGTGGGAGCCCTCTGCGAATTGCAGAAAAAGTGTCAAGCGGCTTCGTGCAACCTGGGCGCGCCGTCACGTCACTGTTGTAGATCTAATTATAAAACCGGCCTAGTTAATTACCACTGCCAGCCTACCTACCTATCTCATCAACCTGAATGGCCAGCTCGCTTGCGAGCAGGGACAGGTGCCGGAGGGAGGCAGGTGCCTGCACTCTTACCTGGCACCAAGAACAATTCATTTGCTGCATGACGTTGTATGGATCGACCACGCTCATACCCGGCAGGTTGGTCTTCCTTGAAAGAGAAATCCAGGCCGCTATCACCTGTTCGTATCGTGAACACTGCCACTTCCCACTGCGCCCCAACGTCGGCTTGCGTAGTACCTCCCCACTATCTCCCACTACATCCCCCCGTGGTGGCGGGAGGTGCTTGCCAGCAAGATAGCAGCGGTTGCGGCATGTACATCCAGATCTCGTATGGAGTACCTGCCCTGCATTCCCTTCCCACCTCTTCCCTCCCTCGCGCGTATGCTCTATGGGGTTGCGTGCGTGGAAATGGGTGGTATGTAATCATACCAGTTCACTGCAGTACCTCCAGCATACCATCACTCGCTGTTCCCCTGTGCTGGGCGGGTAGTCATTAGCCACGAATCTTCCGTAGGGCCCTCTGCCTCTTGTTCCCCGTCGCCCAAGGGTGCCGTGTCGTCTGTCCCTTTTTTTTTTTTTTTTTGTTTAAAAAATTGTATCTTGATCCAACTTCTTGGCTTTCTTTCTTTCGTCGTCGCCCAACGCCCAGCACTCCGGGCATTGTGTCCGTAACGTCACTCACTCGTTTACAAAGGTGTACCCGGTTCCATTGGATGGTGAATCGCATTCACAGACGAATCGAACGTATCTACTCCACAGCAGGCATTCGCTCTTTTCACGCCGACAACATACCTGTCTGTTTGCTTCCATTCCTCGCGTCGAATTTCGAGATCTACACAAGCCTTGGGCATACTGAGCATCCGACCGATTTAATTGCATGACACCCACGAATTGGAGCGGCGTACAGGGTTCTTTCTTTAGGGGAAGCCACTACTTACTTAATAGGTAAATTTACCTGCAAGAAGAGGCGCTTTCGTCACGCTGTGAAACGACGCCAATCAACCCTCGTGAGAGGGCAACTCCACTTCTCCCATACATCTCCAGCCTGCAAGCCGTCCCGACTGCGGTTATTGTTCAGCTCAGCCGGCCCATCCAATCTTGCCTTGGCGCGACTCTACTAGACACCATGGCGCCAATGACGCCCCGACTCAAGATCCTGTCAGGTTCGTGTGGTCCTTGATTATGCAGTTTTTTTTTGCCCCATTCCTGTCATCTCTTTATTTCCAAGTTTCACGACGCTGCCATTTGATTTCCCGGATGGCGACTCAGACGACTGTGCCGCCGACTCCTACCCAGCCCTAATTTGTTCCCCGATACCTTGTTCTGCCCAATAGTCATTTCCTTTCCCTCCGTGATTGCTGTTCCTCCGCGTATCGATTTGGTTCTACTTCGAGCTGCCCCTTGAAGCAGCTCCGTTCGCTTTTGTTTTAATATGGCCGACGACGATCTAATGCACATTTGCTCAGTGGGCGGGAATCCCGTATCAGCTTTTTTATCATGGAGGCTTCAAGCGACCAACGCGTGCGACGTCACATTAGTCTGGAAGTCGGGATATGAGCATGTTGCTCAATATGGCATTTCCTTCAAGTAAGTATCCCCAGGCGCTTGTCCTGTACGCCCTACTCTAACCCAGGTTCTCATTTCTCTAGATCTCAAAGTTTCGGTAACGAGCGATTCAAACCTCGACGTGGTATGTTCATCTCCCGAAATCCTCTAGCCGCCGGTGGCTTGTGTGACATTGAGCTCATTCGTGCCCTTGTGTAGTTGTCCGGAATCCCGAAGATGCCGCGATTTCCAGAGAAGGCCCATTCGACTACGTTGTTCTCTGCGTCAAGGCCCTACCCGATGTTTACGATCTCGCTTCTGTTATCGATGCCGTCGTCACACCCCAACACACCTGTATCCTCATTAATACTACACACACGCTGGGCGTTGAAGCCGCCATCGAGGAGCGATTTCCTACCAATGTCGTACTATCCCTGGTCTGCGGTGCTGAACTCACCCAGCTTGGCCAGAGCGAATTTGAACATAAGGGATCTACGAAGATGTGGATTGGCCCGGCAAATAAGAGCACCGAGATACCGCGAGCGATCCAAGAGGACATGGCACAGGCTTTGTCAATGACGTTGAGTACTGGGCAAGTCGAGTGCAGCGTTTCTCCCAACATCAGGCAACAGCAATATGAGAGAGTAATCGGGTAAGTTGGAGATGCCAGGTCATCTGATGAGGTTTGCTAATGAACGTGCAGGCCGATCGCGTTCCATACTTCAAGCGTTATTTTCGAAACGCCAAGTCACGTCGCACTCCTCGAGAAGGTGGGCGTGAAGGATTTAGTACACGGTGTCCTGGACGAGTTATTACTTCTGGCCGAAGCAAATGGCTGCAAATTCCCGCCCGAGTTTAAACAAAAAACGATTGACGAGATGACCGACCCGAATGCCCCGGAAAGCATCATGTGGCAAGATTTTGTGGCCAGGAGACCTATGGAGGTTGAGACATACCTGGGCTCGCCCATTAAACTGGCGCGTGAATCCCAGGTTGCCATCCCGCGCATCGAAACTCTCTATGCAATTCTTCACAGTATCAACATCACTAATCGGAACCGACCGAAGCCGGGTGAGGGCGGTCCTGCTTTCCCCCCTTCCGGATCACCAACAATGTCATCAGTCCCACCCAGAATGCCTTCTCAAAATGGCCACCGTCCGATGATGGGACCACCAAATGGTATGGGTATGCCGCCACGAGGGCCCCGGCCTCGTAATTCTTCCAACTTTAGCCAGCCCGGTGGCATGCGCCGTGGCCCGCCGCCAGGCATGAACGGAGGGCCCCCCAATGGCTATGGTAGACCTCCACCGCACATGAATGGAGGAGGTTCGAGAGCCCCCTCTCGACGAGGATCGATGGATGGCAACGAGCTGGAAGAATTCTCCCATCTCGTGTTGTATGATAACATTCCCGAAGGCCAGGAACCATCTGGGCGGGGTGATCCTGCCGATCCCCGCGAAAGAGAGTATCAGCTTCGTCAACGAGAACTTGCACTCAGAGAGCAGGAGATGCGGTCAAGACGAGGTCCTCCCCCAGGCCCCGGCCCCGGCCCTGGTCCTGGCCGTAGAGGTCCACACCCTATGCGGCATAGCCAGCAGGCGTTCGATGACGATGAAGACGACGATTACTACGTTGATCCGATGAACAACCCGGCTGCTCCAGTAATTGACCCCGATAATTTTGACATGATGAGTATGACCTCGAGGAAAAACCGAAAAGCTCAGGCTCCTTCTGCTGGTCAATTGCGCCAGAATCCAGAAAATGGTGGGCCGCCATCATCTAGAGGGAACAGATTCCGTCCTAGTTTTGGCCGGCATCGTACCAGCCAGATCCAAGCACCTGTAACGACAGAAAATATACTAGACGACGCCTTAATGACTACCACCTCCAATCGATACGGCACAGTCGATCGGGGGACAATGGGAGCGAACTCCCGAGCGAACTCTCTCACTGCTTCGAGGTTAGATGAGATGCAATACGGGGGTCCCAATGGCCCACCAGGGACACCAGGTATGAACGGTGGATTCCCTCGAAATAGGCCAATGATTAAACAAAGGGAAGCCAACGGGTGGTAAAATTGGCAACCATACTATCATGGTCACTTCTTGTATTTGTTTCTTATAACTTCATTTTGTCAATTCGCAACTAGGGGGTAATAGTTTTATACATGACGGGTTGCTTGGGTTTTGATAAAGACAAAGAAATGGGGGCATTGCTACACAAATAGCCAATTTCGCGGGACATTCTTGAATCGATGAATACAGTATCTCTTTTGAACATCAACCAACTTTCAATACCATGGCCATCATAGCTCACCTCCAAGATAAGAAATATATGTGTGTGTTTGGAATGGTAAATAGGGCTAGATCTACTATACGCACGGTGCAATGATAATTAATTCAATCATCTGCTACACAATTGTCCTTCATCAACACACGACCTCAACGTGTGTTGTTGACTGTGGTGGCCAGGAGCATTAACCCTCGGCAAAGTGGGGGGGCGGGAGACATCAACAAAGCCAAGCAAGGCTGCAGAGACTCCACACGCAGCGCGCTGCTTCCTTCAACTACACGACCCTGGATATATCTACTGAATTGAAACACAATGGCGACACGAATAACTGGCGGCACAACTCAGAACATCCATCGTGGAGGTGTGGGTTCTTCGAACGGTAGTGTTTTGAAGTCACGGCAGCTCGTAAGTTCAAATTTCCCGTCAATGAAGCTGCTTGCCAGTTCAACGCTAACCTCAAGGTTTGCTATGTTGTCGCCATGGTAGGCTCAACTGCATTCACAACTATCACAACTTTCGGCGAACTTGTCAGACACGGAGAATTTGTTGAGAATGACGAGTGTGCAGGCAGAGGCAATGAGGGGCCTGGGAGCCTGGCATGGCGGCTTGTATGTCTCTTTCTTCGACCTTCCCGTCCCGCGCTACCCTATAGCTAACATCACGCTCGCCGGACAGGTTCATGGCGGCGAGCAAAGTTCTTGGAGAGGAGAGTGTCAAGGAAGCGAGCAGATGAGCCTGATATTTATTAATATTCTGTTTGCTTCTATTTATTCAATGCTACCCAGTAATATCGAGTTCTAGCTGTTGTGTTGAACTTTGAGTCAAGATTTCGTGTTAAATCCCAAAATATTGGCAGGATTTTGATGGGGTCTAGATTTATCACGATACTCATCCCATGTATCGAATATCTCGAACCACGGGCCCCCCTACTCAACATGTTCCTAGGGAAGGGCCACAAATGTTATGGCCCGGGAGAAACCTTAGATAGCGCATGGAGGATGAAGCTGTCTTCTTCCTCGGAACAGCACTCATGGGTTGTGGCACTAGAGGTTCGGTTCGTCTACTCACTGCCATTTCTGCAGCGGTGATCTGGTTTAGCGGTCGGCACAGTCCAGAAAAAGGCTTATGGCCGACGGCATGTGAGGAAAGGTCTACGCGTTATCGACTATTAGTGCAGTTGTAAGACTGCACCAGGCGCTCGCTCATGTAGCACAAGGCAGGCCTTGATCGAGTTTCTCAGTGGTGGGCTCTTTCTCAGCGTCCTTTCTTGAAACCCGAAGCGGTTTTCTCATTTGCTTGGGGGCAGACACTGGGTATCGTTTTGCATGGCCACAGCTGACACAGCGAACAACTAGAATATCGGCCCAGGGTTTTCGACCACCTTTGCTGCGATTCTCGACAGTTGAATGGCATGTTTCACCCTCAATCTGGAGTGTGTCACAGAATTTGCAAACCTCTTGCTTCATGTCCCGGCTTTGTCGAATCACCGCCTTGAGAGACACAGACCTCATATTAGACAGGTACTGGCGAGAAAGATTCATCTCGGCATTGGGTGTTTGGTTGGGGGTAGTTGCAGAGTTGTCTCGGCCAACCTGTGAGTTGCCGGCCGCAGCCGTCTCATGTGTTGTACTCAGAGCCAAATAATGTGCGGCCTGGCGGAGGTAAGAGACTCGACTGTAGATGTGTCTATTGGAGACGCCGGCTGGGCCTTTTGCTTTTGCCATTATGAAGATATGGTGTTCCGTGATAGATCTAGTAGTTTCTGTGCTACTACTAAGCCTCGAAGTTTCCCGTGAGATGGCACGTGCAACGCGTTGGCAAGATCACGTGATAGGCGCACGGTCCACTTCTCCTACGCGAACTCCGTCGCCTCAGCCTCAACGATCACCAAGCCTCCCTGCAGAAACCTGTCACCCTTGGTTTTCTCTCCTCTCCCAGGCTCAAACAACATCTGCGGTAACCAAGTCGTGTTCGTTACACTACGCGACACGACATATATCGTCTCGTGCCAACCACTTTTCTCAAAACTACTTTTCTCATATTTGCTCTCCCCAGTCTTTCGACTCGCTCAACCATCTGTCCAACATGTCTCACGAAGAGGATCTCATCGACTATTCCGACGAGGAAATCGGCGGCAACGAGACCGCCGCTGCCTCCAACGGCAAGAAGGGCGACCCCGCTGCCGGCAACAATGTCGACAAGAAGGGCAGTTACGTCGGCATTCACTCGACCGGCTTCCGCGACTTTCTGCTGAAGCCTGAATTGATTCGAGCCATCGGCGATTGCGGTTTCGAGCATCCATCGGAGGGTTAGTCTCTCATTCTAATACCCTAAGTCATCAAACCCCCTCCTGTCAAGCGTCCGTCCATTCCACAGCAATGCTGTGCAGCATCCGAGAGAAATGCCCGCCTTGGCAGCATCAAAATAGCAGGAGCTTTGTTTTTGGGAGACCCCAGCTTCGCACATATCTCGACAGTTGCGTAACTGTCCGCCCAGTGCGCAGTGTGAGATCCAGTCAATGGACTGCTTTAGCCCACCGCCTATGGTGATACCAAGCGTGAAAAAAAAAAGACATGGACCAGACAAGCCAGGCAAGCCGCCATCTGGTGGTGGCTCGCTGGACTATCGTGGGAAGGAAAACATCACATCGAAAGACATAGTCTTTCCTTTGTGCTTCCCTCCCTAACCCTTGCCTTCCCACTCCCCAGATTCATCACGGTCTTGTTGTGATTGCAATGTGAGTCACTGGGCAGAACCGTGTTGTTATATCTCGATTCTCCCCCACGATAGCTTGTCTTGGCGAATTCTCGGTATCAATTTCTCTGCTGCGATGATGGACGGACACATGGCGCACAGTCATATCGTTGCTACTTCTTGGAACACCCATCTAACGTCCTTCGAACGATAGTTCAGCAAACTTGCATTCCCCAGGCACTCCTCGGTGGTGATATCATTTGCCAGGCCAAGTCAGGTCTCGGAAAGACCGCTGTCTTTGTCCTGGCCACTCTGCAGCAAATTGAGCCCGTTAATGGCGAGGCCTCTGTTGTCGTCATGTGTCACACTCGTGAGCTGGCCTACCAGATTCGCGATGAGTACAACCGATTTAGTAAATACATGCCCGACATCAAGACTGGCGTCTTCTACGGTGGTACTCCCATCAACAAGGATATTGAAACGATCAAGAACAAAGATACCTGCCCCCATATCATTGTCGGTACTCCCGGTCGACTTAAGGCTCTGGTTCGGGACAAGGCACTTCGACTTGGAAGCGTTCGTATCTTCGTCCTTGATGAGTGCGACAAGATGCTGGAACAACCTGGTAGGTCACGCCTCGCTCATAAGGAACCTCAAATGGCTTCATGTCTGACTATAAAACAATAGATATGCGCACTGATGTTCAGGATGTCTTCCGCGCCACGCCTCAGCAGAAGCAGGTTATGATGTTTTCGGCCACCCTCTCGGACAGCATCAAGCCTATCTGCCGCAAGTTCATGCAGAATCCCACAGAACACTATGTTGACGAGGATACTAAGCTCACACTCCACGGTCTTCAGCAATACTACATCAAGCTCGAGGAGAATGAGAAGAACAGAAAGCTGAATGATCTTCTTGATGAGCTTCAATTCAATCAGGTCATCATCTTCGTAAAGAGCACTCGTCGTGCAAACGAGCTCGACAAGCTGCTGCGCGAATGCAACTTCCCATCCATCGCTGTCCACTCCGGTGTCAGCCAAGAGGAACGGTAAGATGCACCAATTGTTGAAGGGTAATCGGCTCCTTACTAACCAAACCCAACAATAGTATCCGCCGCTACAAGGAGTTCAAGGAGTTCAAGAAGAGAATTTGCGTTGCTACCGATGTTTTCGGCCGTGGTATTGATATTGAACGTATCAACCTCGCTATCAACTACGATCTCACTACGGAAGCCGACTCTTACCTCCACAGAGTTGGTCGTGCCGGCCGTTTTGGTACCAAGGGTCTGGCCATCTCCTTTGTCAGCAGTGAGGAGGATGTCAATGTGCTCAAGGAGATTGAGAAGCGTTTCGAGGTTGCCCTTCCGTGAGTCGATTCCCACGTGTGATGCATGATTTTCAGCAGCTAATGGTCCTGTAGTGAATTCCCCAAGGAAGGTGTTGATGCCAGCACCTACATGGCATCTTAGGGTGCTACCTAATAGCCTAGAATGCATCTCTGGCTAATTTTCAGATTGCGTCCCATAGGAATAGGAAGAAGATGTGATTTTTTTTATGCAGGGAATGGAAAACGGGAGATATCGTGAATTGCTAACTTGAAATTCTCCTGGTCGTCGAGGTATTGTCAGTTTACCATAAAATTCAATCTCAATCGCACAGCCTTGTCCACGCCTGTGCATGTTAACCAACGATGACACCATCATAAATTGCGCTCTTAGTCTCACACAGTGAAGTATGCCGGGTATCCTCGATATTATCACATGGTTGGTGAGTTTAGTGTGAACGCATGTTCTCTTAGAGGCTCGATCCTATAGGATGGCCTGTTTTTCTGCTTACTAGGTAGTGATGACTACAGATAGCTGTACCACAACGTGTCCGTAGTATTTCTGAATTCGATCATTCCCTCACAAATATGATACACTTTTGCGATGAGACGGGGCATTTTCGTCACCGAAGTAATTTGCATCTTCGCATTTCGAGACAGGCGTTTCTTGTACAAATCATTTGACTGTGCCAATATTCAGAGGGCCACTAAACAGGCTTGACGTTCGCCTCGGAGCAGGTACGCACGAAAAGAATCTGGAAATGAG